TCTGGGCTCTCCCCCACCCGCACCCCCTGCCACCCAAGCCCTGGGCTCTGCACCCCCCCCCACCAGTGCCCTCCCCGACCCACACCCCCTGCCACCCCAGCCCTAGGCTCTCTCTTCCCCACCCCACCCACACCCCCTGCCACCCCAACTCTGGGCTCTCTCTTCCCGCCCCCTGCCTCCCCAGCCCTAGGCTCTCCACCCCACCAGTGCTGGCTCTGCCCGCTCCCCCCTCACCTCCAGCCGGTCCGGTGCTGGCAGAGTCGGGGTAAGCAGGGGGGCTCCCGGGCCGCGCCTCAGCCCAGGGTCCCTCCAGCCAGGGCTCCCACCTCCAGAGCCGGCTGGGACCCGGGAGGGCAGAGCCAGGGCCCGGTAGGGGGCTGAGGAGCTGTGGCAGAGTAGCCCCAGAGGGAGCGGAGCCCCGGAGAGCGGGACGTGGGCCCCACACGGCAGCACCCTGCCCTCTGTGGCCCCACTGCTGCTTCTGGCCGCCCTGGGCTTGGGCCGCTTCGCCCAGCCCCGGCTGTGGCGCTGGGGGGGCGGCTGCCCTGCGGCACCTGCAGGCGGCTCCGTGTGCCCCGCGGGGCGGCCCCCAACCCGAGTGTCCCCCGCTCGGAGCCTGCCCGGCCCAGCCACAAGGTGCGGGCGCTGCTCCCCCGTGGCGCGAACCGCAGCGGCCCCAGGGCGCCCCCCGCACTGCTGCTGCTGCCAGGGCCGGCTCTAGGCTTTTGCCGCCCGAAGCAAAAAAACAAACAAAAAAACCAAACACAAAAAGATGGCCGGAATGCCGGCCCTGAAATTGTGCCGCCCCAAGCATGTGCTTGGTTTGCTGGTGCCTGGAGCCGGCCCTGGACGCTCAGGGTGGCTCAGCCTGGCCTGCCAAGCAGAGACTGGCCTCCCCGGGCCTTAGGTGGAGCAGGTGGCCGGGTGCAGAGCCTGGTCCTTGGAGAAGTCCCTGGCCTCCCGCCCTGGCCTGGCGTCTCCACGGGGCGTTCCAGGCGGGAGCAATAAAGGGGCTCACAAAGGATCCAGGGGAGAAGCGTAGGGTTTCCCGTCAAACCTGGGGCCCAGGTAGGGGCCACAGCGGAGGGCGCCAGGGTGGGTGTGGGAGAAGAGTCTGGCTGCAGTGGGGTGTCCTAGAGGAAAACTGGCACCGTGGGCAGGGCAGGAGACCCGGGTTCGAGTCCTTGCTCTGGGGCGCTGGGGCCAGTCACGTCGCAGCCCTGTTCCTCAGCTCCTGCCCTGCGCCGGGGTCTGCAGGGGGTGGAGCAGGCAGGGCAGGGGCGGGGAACCGGGGGCTCGCTAACTGTAAGGGGGGGTTTGCTTCCCCAGGGTCAAGAGCTGGGGGTTGCTCTTGCTCCCCCCCCCCTCGCCCAGGGCAGGCCTGGGGCTGACCCCTGGGTGTGTGTCTATCCGCAGCAGCAACCCAGCCAGGCCGGTTTATTTTCCAACACTGCCCTGTGGCTGCCAGCACTGCCCAGCCCCTGTGCTGGGGGAGTGTGTGTGTGTGTGTGTGTGTGTGTGTGTGTGTGTGTGTGTGTGTGTGTGTGTGTGTGTGTGTGTGTGTGTGTGTGTGTGTGTGTGTGTCGTCGTCGTACGTA